CCAAACCAAATTTCTTCTGATATTTGTAAACACGTAGTAGTCTTTTGTTGCAAAAGAGGGGTATTTCCATGCTGCAGACTGGATGTGAATACCGTATGATTGTTTTTTAGAGACAGCCGTTTCAGCTTGCACTGAAATTTTTGCAGAAGAATGCCCTCATGTAACAACGCTTCTTTCTAATTACAGGCTGTAGGATTCTTAGGAACTGGAAATCCAGCAGAGAAAGCAGTTGTGGTAGAATTAGGTGTTGAAGCTTATGGAGTTTTGAATCCACCAAAAAAAAAAAGAAAAGAACTGAAAAAAAGTAACAAAGAACAGACTGTGTTTGATTACCAGGCTATAAACTTAGCATGCAGTGCTTAAACGTGGAGGAGCAAATTTTCTAACAGGCTGGTGCTATTGTGGAAAGATGGATTTGAGCCAAACTCCCAGATTTGAAACCCCATGAACTTCAGTAGGCCCAGGCCAATCCTTGGCTTAGGTTCAGCTCAAACACATTCAAAGCACAGAAAAGGTATTTGAACATTCACAGTAGCAACTGGGGATCCAGAAGAGGCATGATCTGTGCACTATTTGCACACACAAGGGGCATATCGGTGCCAATATGAACATTTGTCCCCTTGATCGTTATGAGAATGTTTTTAGAGCATCTTTGAAAACATGCTGCAGCATAACGTGAAGGGAATGTTTCTGGCGTGTATCCTGAGTACTTGAATCTGTTACTAACTAATCTCTTTAGTGGGAGGAGCTTTATATGGCTTCTCTGATTTTACTCAAATAATTAATCTCTTGCACGTTGTCCTCACCTCTGTGGTCCCCTCTGACAGCCCTTTCCTGTAACAACAGCTGACATCAGGTTCCTGGGTTGCATGGTGGATTCCTGCTCAGAGGACAACTGGTTTATTACAGATTTAAGCAATACTGCCTTCTGAATGGGGACTGTAGTGGGCAGATTTCAACAAATTATCAATTATACCCAGACCGACCGGCAAGATTTATGTGCTGGTTTTAATAAGCATTGTACTCTTTTATTTGCTTTCTCTTTTGCAGCAGAGTAAACTCATTTCCTCTGAGTTGTACAGCTGCTGTAAATGGTAATAAGACAGCAGTGTCAGTCACAGTAGTGCTGTGATAGGAACATGCACCCTGTACTTGCTGTATCTGAGGGTTGTGTCTGGAGCTGGAGCGGGGAAAAGTTTAACATGGAAATGAGCTACATGCAATTACCGATTTATGGGGAAGCTCATAAGGGATCCAGCTGGTAGTGGCACTGGGTTGTTAAAACTGTTCTTCTGAAGAAACTAGAAGAAGAAATTTAAAAAATGCACATGTGCACTGTTCAGTTAGCTGAAGTTGTCAGAGCATCCTAGAATATTTCTTATTAATGAGAATATATTAATCGCCAACTTTTATATCAAAGGTACTTTGTGCGTGTTCCCTGTGGAGAAACCTAAATGAGTATTTATCACCAAGGCAGCAGCACCAGTGTAAAAGATGCAGGAGCACACGGAGATACGAGTATTTTATGGTTCTGCGACAGAGCTACCATCAGAGCATGCCACCTCCTTGGACTGGGCTGTCTGTACCACACTGAGTTGCGATTTATGCAGTTTGCTTGACTGCAATGTGGGACCTGCCAAGGTCCATCACATGAGCAGCTGCAGCGAACTGTAGATGATATTAAAGCAGGTGGAAGATGATTTTGCAATTCCATACTGGCAGAAGCGGAGCAGTGTGGGTCCATTCCCTTCCCAGAGTCGGGTGTGGAGTGGCGAGGAGCCTGGAGAGAAACGGCTCTGACTTTTGTCTTGAGACCAGGTGACATTATATTGTCGCAGTTGCAGATTGTCATAGCAGTAAGAAGTCACGACAAATATTGTGGTACAACTCCAGCTTGTCCTGACTTTTCCATCTCTCTGCGCTAAATTCTGTAAGTCTAGGTGTAGAAATGAAGATTTTTTTTTTGAGCAGATAGCTCAAAAATGAAAAGGGGTAACACTGTATCCAGATTGCCATCATTAAACAGGAGAGTTCTCCAAACAGAGAAAGCTCTTAGCGGTGCGTATGCAATGCTGCGAGCAGGCACAGGCTGCAAGGACTTGGGAGTATTACGCCGCTCCTTTTTCCGAAGCTAGCATTTACCTGTGCTGCATGGCCGCATTGGTTGCACACAAATCTCACAGCAGGTTGTTTCCCAGTTTACTCTCCCAGATACGCTCTAGACACCTGGTGACACCAGTATTATTAACTGAAAGGCTCCAACAGCGATATGAATCCTGGTAGGCCGTGTCTTAGGAGATCCCTCTTATCCCAGGGCGTGCACTGACAGGCTTGTTTGAGCTAAATTGAAAGCTTTGTCCTTAGTCTGTTCAACTATAATTCTTCCTCTTTTTAATATAATTTGATCATAAACTTCTAATAATATACGACACAAACTGCTTGTTTGTTATCAGAATCTGCACTATATTGTTAGTGCTCTACAAGGTTAACACACGCACGACGGACTGTTGAAACAAGTGCTTTGTCGTAATACCTATGTACCAAACATTTCTCTGACTCATACCCCCCACATATCCCCTGCAGTGATTTTGTAAGTCAGGGCAAAATTTAGACTACTATTTGTTATCTGGTACATATTTCTAAGAAGTTGCCAAACAAAAAGCTAAATTTAAAAACTATGACTTTTGTTGTGAGGAATTCCAGACGTGCCAAAGGAACATGTGTCAGCAATTCTAGGCTTAGCGGCCACGTAATTGTGAAGTATACTTATTTTTATAGATGCTCTTGGATGATAAAAACTGAGACGTTTCTTTTAGGTGTTTGAGTTACGTTTACTGTCACTGCTTTTTGATTATTAGTGTCACTTCAAGAATTTGTATTGGAATGGAAAAAAAACGCACACAGAAACTCTTCTTTTGTTTATGTGTATGACAAAGTTATTGTGTCCAAAGAGAAAAATGCTTCTGATGGTTTGATTTGGCTTGTATACTCATAGGGACATCCGTTGGGTCCTGCACATATATTCTATCTTTATTTGCTTCGTCATGTATTGCCTTCGTTTGTGAGTCAGTTTGCCTCCTGCCTAATGATATTTTATTTCTCTGAATTGTGTGATTAGTTGAGGGAATGGGGAAATAGACTGTGGCTTTGGATATAGAAAATGAGACAGAGAGACACTCTCTGGTGCAGGGAGGGGAAGTGTGTTTGAACCTCAGATCCATCCTACATCGTAGGGTCAGTGTAACCGAGCTGGGAAATGCGGTGGTATGATTTTTCCCAGCTCACACCTGAATCATACCTCTATATTAACATATAGTCCAGTGCTCTGAATTGAAGCATATTCAGGAATTGCTCCCAGGCTTGCTAACTTCTTAACCGTCTGAGATACACCTTGGAGATACACCAAATGACGCAGGCTGACCTTCTGTCGACAAGGGTGGCTTTCCTCCAGAAGTAGTTACCTTTAGTATACCTTAAGAATAAAATGCTACTGCCTAGTTCCTTATCTAAAATACTGATCTTGAAACTGTTTTGTAGTGATTTTATTCCCATTCATGGCTAGAGGTAAATATTTTCAGTTAAAGTAATTCTGAAATTAATGTTTGGCAGTAGGATTATTTCAGAACTTAATTTTTGGACAGAGACTTTTAAGTAAATCTGTTGAGAGGGACTTTGAATGTGTTCTGCATGATTTCTTCAATTTAGTACAGACAGAATATGGTATCTTGTATCGCTGTAAACTTGGCTAGTTATATCACAGTAAAGACTTAGGCTTATATAGTTTCAGTTATTGAAAGATACCCACCTTAAACAAGTAGGTTTGCTCATGGCCGTGTGTCATCAGCACTGGTGGCTGTCATTTAATTGTCTAGCAGCTGTTCCACTGCATTTCTCTTGCCCACTGTCACTTTTGCGGCTGTATCGAGCCCTGAAGCATTGTGGATCTGGGCCAGTGATTCATTTCTAGTCTGTGTTACTAATGTGCAAGATTTTATAGTCATCTGTTAGCAATTGAGCTGTAGATGCAAAAGTCCATTCTATTAGTTCTTTGGTGATAAACAATAGGATTCTAGGTGATACCCTGCCATCGCTGATCTGAACCTATCTGCAGTAATCACTGCCTTCTGTTTTGTATCAGGAGAATGGAAAGATTAATCTGTTACCGCCTTGCTACCTTTGGTTTTTAATAAAGACTTCCCCCAACTTACTGTAGGAGCATCAGCTCAGTGTTCCCTCCGTCCTGTCCTCCCTTGAGATGACTTGGTTGCTGTCATCTCTTTTCAATGCTGTGTCTGTGGAGGGAGGTTCTGAGGTTTGTAGTCAGCTTATGCTGATCAGCAGGGTCTGGCCATGGACCTTGCATAGACTCTTGTTGCTGTGTGGTGAGTCAGATCACCTCACTTATCTGGCTGAAAATTAACTTTAAAAATAAGCTGACACGTCAGTTTTTTATCAACTCTGAAAGGGCCCCACCACAAGTGCTGCTGTGACATGTCCTGTATCTCATCACCAAGGAGAAAAGCTTAGTCGTATGTATTCCTCACCATCGCTGCAGCCCTGAATATGTGAGGTGGTGTTATGGTGAGAGCATTCTGGGTAGACACAAGAGCACAGGAAAAGAAGACCAGCTGTCAGGGAAATGATGCATGTTGCTTTATCCGCAGTTCTGGTAAAGAGTGGAGCGAGCAGATCAAGTCAAAAAGCTGTGCTTGCTGTCATTGTCTTCTCTGCCTCCAGACATTTGACCCTGCCTTGGAAGTTGGTCTTGGGCCAACTGAGAAAAGAGCCATCACTGTTGTGACTCAGAGTCAGCTTCGCTGAAATCATTAGTTAAGCCAGCACATAACCGATGTGAGACCAGGATCAAGATTTTTTCTTAGTTTTTTTTCCCCTAAGTGGGCTAATGGCATTTAGCTTATGAACTTACTGTCATCGTACTTTGTAGTAAATGGAATTAAATTTATGTACTGAACATCAGTTGCTCTCCCTGGCTTTTCTAGGACGAATCCTCGACTTGAAGACTGGAACAGTAAAGAAAGAGGGTCAGCAGTCCTCAATGAGAATGTGCATGGGATCAAGGCGCTCTTTCATTTGCCGGATGAGGTACACATTTACCTTGTATTCCTGTGATGGTTCCAGTCCTGTCTCTGCTTAGACTTCAGACATTTTGTTGCACTAATTTGGCCTTGCTTAAAAAATGAAGCTGTAATGACACAGTCCCATTAAGCATTTCCAGAATGCTTGCTTTTGGAACTGGAGTAAAACTGAAACCTGTCTTCCTTTATGATTAATGACAAAACAGCACCTCATTTGTGTGTTGCAGTTATTTTTATCAGTGTGGGGTGTAGGATGCTTTCCCCAGAGAACTTCATGACAACTTCACCCCTGGAATGTAAGCCATTGTCTCTTAGAGTCAAATTATTCGAATCAATACTTTGGGAGCAAAGCTTTCGCAAGTGTAATGAAAGCCCAACTCTGTGTATTTTTTCAGCAAACCAATAATATTAAAAGAATCTTGAAGACAAACAGAAAGTCAGTTGCAAACTTGCCAGCTATGTAGGAATTAACCTAAGCCTGGTATGAATTAACCAAATGTCAGCTGGTTGATGCTAGATAAATGAGTAATTGTTAGAGGGGTTTTATTTTGCAATTTTCCAACTTCTCCTGCATTGCTTGGGCTTCTTTAAAGAGATCTGCCTGCCCAGTGCTTCTGACTGGGGCTTGCGGGCACTTCTGTTGTGGTGCTAATGGGATAAAATGCCTGTTGCTATTGCAATAAATTTCTCTCTGTGTGGTTAGGGGGGGAAAGTACATAATTGCATCTGCAGCCTATATCCAATATACGTGTTGAAAACAGATGATGCAAAATTTGTTACGGAATGAAACGCGCAAAGCAAAATACTTGACACACTAAAACAGATCCCTGTACTTTGGTTATGTGGTGGGATTCTTCCAGTCATGTGAGGAAGCTGAATGTATGGCTCTTGGGTGCCCTTGTAAGGGGTTTATATACTTCATACCTGCAGAATTAGACTTCAAAGCTGTAGCTCCTTTTCCCCCCTTAACTGGGGGGAAAGAAATACAGCCTGACAGAGACACACTTGGAACATTGCTTTCTCTTCCTCCAAGCTGCACATAGTGGTCTTGTGAGGAAGACTACTTTGTGCAAAGAAAACTAGGCCTAGTGTCCTGTTTACAGTTATTCCCCAGCTTTTAAAACAACAGTTCAGATTGCAGTTATTTCCTAGCACCCTGATTCTGTAAACTCCAGTGCGTGAGAGTAATTTTATACATGCCAGTAGCCCCATTGTTTTTGTAATTCTCAATCTTATTTTAATTGTTCATTCCTTCTCCTTGGCAGTGACTGGTATTAAAAAAAAAAAAAAAAAAGAAAAAAATAATAATTTAAAAAAACCTTGTGGGAAGAATGAGCCTCAAATAATGTGAACTTTCCTTGTGATTACTTCTTTCGTTGTTATTGTTCTTTTTTTCCATTGAAAATGAACTGGTTTTACCCTTCAAACTGTTTACTTAGCTTCAAATGGATTGTTAAAATTATACAGTTAAGCATAGTTAGAAATATCACAAAATGTACATGAACAAGTGTTAAACAAAGTTACTTGACAGTGTAAATAGTCCGTTCTTGCAAACATTAGATTAATATCTACTAACACTGTAGCTGGTGTATGGCAGTCGAAATGCTCTGTCCAGGGGAGCTACTGGAACACTGAGATTGTTTTGTGTGGATATTTGGGGGCCTTATTTATGCCTGACTTACATTCTTCTCTAGTTTTCCCCTTGTTATATAGTATTTTGAAGTGTATCTATTCTTTAGCCACTCTTGGAATATCTATTTCAGATAGTCTTTAGGCTTGGGGGAGCAGGAGGGAATCTTTTTGTAGATTTGTAGAAATGTTTTTCTTTATAAAGTAAATATTTGTAGCACACCCAAAAAGCTCAGCCTGTGGAAGCAGCAAGTTCTAAGAAAACATGAATCTGGGACCTTCTGTCAGAAATAGATATCCATTATTGTCTACTTATATATACTAATAAAGATCTTAAAATGCATTTTCATCTTGGGTGTTTATATTCATTTTTGAGCCATTTCAAATATGAATTTACTTTTAGGTGTGGAAATGCTCCTCTGGATCATTTACCTCTGAACAGAATAACCACCATGAGAAAAAGATACAGGTACTATTACTTAATTTATCACAACAATTAGTTGCCATAAGCACTCTCATTTTGCACTGGGCTAATGCTCACTCAGGGAGTACTACCTGGACAAACATCTGGATTAGCACACAGTGTGAAATAGCACTGGGTCTCAGGAGAGAACTCGCCCCTGAATTCAACTGTGGCAGAATCACTGGATCTTTTTGCAAACCTTGCGCAAGTCACTCAACTTCTTTGTCTTAACTAGCTCCATCTCTGAAATAAGCTTCAGTATCTTTCTTAGAGAAATATTATGGAAAACAGGTACAGCTTGAATAGCATTGTGATGGGGCTGACATTGTACAGAACTCTAGGTTGACGGTTGGTTGTTTCTAACATAACTTACAGTAAATCATCAGTAGTCATAGTTTAAAAACATAGAGCTATTCTGCATGTCAATCAACATGATATTTTTGTGTTTCCTTTTCATTTAGGAACGGCCTCGGCCCAGTAAAAGAAGGCGAAGCACAGTATGCTGTTGTCCATTGCACTGGCTATATCAAGGCTTGGCCACCAGCAGGTGTGTACCTCTCTCATTTGAAGGCGGTGTGTACTGCGCTACCTGCAAGACAGTTGAAAACCTGGCTCAGGATCCTTTGCTGGTACAGAACCAGGCTGAATTTCAGTGGGTTAACCCATTCAGTCTCATATTGAGAAGCTATTGATATGAAGGAATGGGCTGTTGTTACTCACTCAGGGCCTCCCTGTTTTTCCGTGTGAAACCCTTCTCAATTTCATTGGCACAGAGAGTGGTGGAGTTGTTGGTAACGTGGGGTTACAGCAGCTGGGGCTGAAAGTTTTCAATCTGGTCAACCGACATAAAAATGGCCCAATTTTAAGAAGGTAAACACAAAGCATTTGTACCTCTAGAAAACACCAACTAGTGCTTTTATATTTAAGTATTGAGTTGCAAGCACCTATGTATGAAAATGTGTAATTTCAATTTGGGTGCATAGGTCCTCACTTCAAAGTGGTGGTATTAGTGGTATTAGAGAATGTTCAGTCTTTGTGATAAGTTCTGTTTTGAGGCTATTTTTCTGGGAAACAAGTCTTGGCATATTGCTTTGAACTGCAGAGAAAAACCTTTACCTACTGTAACTCAGTATTGCATATGGGAATATTTACCTTTGAAAAATTCAAAGAGGAGTCAGTGGAGCTCATCCAGACATCATCATGAACTGGATTATTGACCTTGGCATTTGCAGTAGTTGAAGAGGCTGTTTGCAATATGACAGCGCCTGCTGGCCTGAATCAAACCATGGGTTGTCCTGCCCTTTTGTGGTCGTATGCCACAAGCATAAATCACATCTATTTGGGAATTATGAATACCGAGAGGTGGTTTGCACCAAGTCTGTACGGTGGTGTGCAGACACCAGCATGCGGATGTGAAC